ATATTATATCCGAGATGCTCCCTCAGATCTCTCCAAGATCTTCCGCCAAACATTCCTCCAGATTTTTCGCTTTGCAACCGCGCCAGATCTTCCATCGGTAACCCCCCAGATCTCCCGACAGATCTTCCCCCAGATCTTCCCCCTGCTGTTTCAGGGCGTCCCTTGTGTTGTTTCATGCCGCGTCGCGGGCCCGGGTCTTGTTTGTTATGTTTCCACTTTTGTTCTCTGCCTCGCTTCGGGGCGGCGACCTCTATGCGATAACCTATAATTAAAAATTCATTGTTTGTTGGATTCCCGTGTTTTTTTGAACTTCCCTGTGCACATAAAACTAACGAGAGCAGTGAACATAGTAGTGCTCGCAAGATGGAGGATAATTTTGCTCAGTGGAGGAAGCATCAGAAGAATAATAAGCAGCATACTTTAATAATATTAATAACCATAATAAGGACAACGACAAGAAGACGAAAGCGAAACAACACGAAGGTGAATGTTTGGGGCCAGGGGGAGGCACATTATGGGTTGGAAGCGCAACCGTCGGCCGCCTAAGTGCGCACCGGTATCTCCAGCAGGAGTGGCCAATATCCGACGGTGGGGGAGGGCACTGAGGACGAGGAGGCGGAACTGGAAACGCTGGGAGGTGCAGGGGAAGAGGGTGTGGGGCACGGGGGGAAGAAGGACGTGGAACAGGGGTAGTAAGTGAAGCAAGTTGCCCCCTGGTCATGCGTGGATGGAATGAAGGACGAGGAAGATGAACATCATGTGAAATTGGAAGAGTTGTCCTCTGCACCGGGGTGAAAGAGGATGAATAATACGAAGAGGATTACGAGGAGGGCGAATGAGGGACACCAGCAGGAGAAGGAGGAATGTGGGGGATCAAATGTTGTGTCTCAGTTGGGCCAAACTGACGCAACGCAGTAACAATTTTTTGTGTGCCTAGGGAGGAGGAATCAGGAAAACGAGAAGGTCCTCGAGTACGTCGGGCATTTCTGTATGGAGCGGGGTCACGGGACCGATTCTGCACGGGCTCGATTTCTGGTTGGGAGGGGAGGGGGTAAAGTTAGGCGGATGGAATCACTTGGAAAGGAGAGGGCGCAGGGCGCGGATGAGGGGTGGAGGGGATCTGGCAGGGCACTGGAGACCACCAACTCACCAACTGTTCTTGACCGCTCTGCTCTGAAGGCGCAGCCGTCGGCCGCCTGAATACGTACTGCTATTTCCAGTGGGAGTGGCCAACATCCGATAAAGGGGGAGGAAGGTGAGGATGCGGAGGGGGGGCAGGAAGAGGAGGGAGACGCCCAGGCGCACGCGTGCGCGACCCGCTTGGCCTCTGCCCTGAGCAAAAGGCATCAACGGATGCTAGCGACCCGCGCGCCCAAGACGAATCGTTCACATGTTCTGCGGGTGTCGTCGCAGCAGGAGCGTCATCATGATGATGGGTGTCATAACGTGCAAGCGTGGCAGAGCGATTCATACACATGGAATTATACCCCTATCGCATGTGCACCCAGTCGTGATCCGTCGTAGAAGCGGCATCATGATGATGAGTGTCATGGAACGCACCTGGGAAGTTTCATATTGAGTCTCATGATCGCAGCATCATGACGGTGAGTGTCATGATGAATGGCATGGTTCGAAGCCAGAACGCTGTCGCCAAGAGCTCCGCTTCGAGCTCGGGCGCCGCGGCGGCGTTCAAATCGAGGGCCCGGTTCTCGAAGAGGTGGCGTGCTGAGCTGACTGCGGCCCACCGACTCCCACGCACGCCGACCGTCGGGCACGCGCAGACGGCAGCTGGGCGAAAAGGGGGGCCTGCCGTCATACCGCGCGGACTGCTTTTGTGTCTGCTTTTGAAGCCTTCGCAGAAAATGCCCTGCCCTCAGGGTGCCCGGTTCGCCCCAGTGTTTCCTGCTCCGCCCGCAGTAGAGCCAACCGCGCGAGAGCAGACGGACCACAACCCGCGGGGAAGGCACGTGTCAAGCAAACGTTTTCCTACTTCCCCGCAGTTGCGGATTCGACGGCGGGGCGCCCACGTGGAAACAAAACGGTCGGGGCCCGACGACGACAACGCTGCACCACAACGCCCAGAATACACGCCAGGGGGTCCCAGCGCCGATCCCAAGGACTGTGTAAGACCGCTCCGCTCCCTCACCAGACCTTTTGGCGGAAAGACGTTCAGACGTGGATGAAATCCGTGGTCATATTCCCTGTCGGTGACCCAGGGGAAGTAGTTTGCGTTTCGTGTGTCGAGTGTCTTCCCCCTTGAGCTACCAGCGCCGTTTCTCCCCACCGTGCTTTTCAGACCTGTGTTTTTTATACAAAAACCAGAAAGAATCCTTTGGGCGATGTTCACCACACGACACCGCCAATTTCATTGCGCGGCCAAAGGCTAGGAACGCCGCGCTTCAAATCGCGCGGACACATTCCCCATACCGCGAAACGCAATGTATTGTTACACTCACAAGCGGTGCCCCCAAAGCAAATGCATTCATCAGTTTGCTCAGTTTTTCCTCTTCCTCAAAAGCAAGAGCCGGTCGCGCGCGCGTGAGCCTGGCGGTGCAGGGGGGATGGAGGACGTGACAAAAGACATAGGATAATACACAGGTTGAGGGTAACAATGGGAGGCGGGAGGTGGAACGAACAGGCGGAGGAAATGGAGGCAAGGAAAAAAAGGGGGGGAAAGGACGAATGAGGATAATGAGGATGAGGATATAGGACCAGGAGGAACACGAGGAGGAGAAGGAGGAGGAGAAGCAGGCTCCGCCGCTGCCGCCTGGTGGCCCGCGCGCTGAGCCCGCGCGCCCGCCTGGGGTCTCGGGGGACAAATCATCCGTGAGCGTCCAGTCCGGCGTCGAAGCAAAGTCGCACCCTCGTGGGCGACCCCTCGGCCCGGGCTGAGTCGCTGGCAAAACCACGTATGAACTTATCAAAGCTCTCGAAGTCTCTAGTGGCAATGAGAAGGGTCAGACATAGTAGCATCGTTATGTTTTTTTCACACCGTTGTGCTGGTGACTCAAGGGCCCTGCAAAGGTTTGGGCCAACGTGCATTACGGTCGGAGGCCCCTTCGTCCCCCGCTCGTGCTTATAATGCTGTGCGCGCTCTGTCATTATCTTGCTATTTTGCATTAGCTAGATGTACAGCGTATATCTCACACCCGTCAAAGGGTAAATGACACTGAGGGAAGGGTCGTTCCCGGAATGCGAATTGCGAAAACCGAAAATCCACGAATATGAAACGCAAGAAAAGGGCTGGCTAAGCACAAAGCGCTAAGCAAAACCGATCAGGGCGATGCTTCACTCACTTGACGCTCGCCTTGGCGTCATCCCTTGGTGTCTTCATCTTGTAATGCCGCGTGCTGGATTCCTGCATCTCGATCATCTCGATGGTGATATCGCCCGCTCGCTTGCTTGAACCCGTTCATTTTGTGGCGGGACCGCCACTGGTGGCCAATCCAGAAGTAGATGACCATACTCTGCCAACCGTCCGCTGCCGAATCTTCTGGTACTTGTAATCGCTGTTCTTGTTGTTGCTGATCGTCTCCTTCCCCGTGGTCTTCTCGAACTCGTCTTTTGAGTCCGTCTGAATCGGGATCGTGGTAGCGCCCTGCTGGTCCACCAGCTTCAGTGGTAACTAGTAAGTCACTGGCATGGCCACCAGCATACCCATCTTCATGAATGACAGCGCGTCCCCGGCGCCTCCAAAACACCACGGACACTTCACTGTCTCGTCGTTGTAGTACCTGTACTCGGTGTTGTAGTCGTCCCTTGTGTGCGCAGCCACAGATTTGTAACAGCATGCCGCAAATATTGCCAATTTCATTAGTGGGAGCCGGAACGACCCTGTAGCCGATGATGTCTCCAGTCTGCTCTTCTCGATGATATCCTGCTTCTCCTATTTGGTCTTATTTTGGGCCGCGGTATATGTAGGATCGCGTTGAAGCTGTAGCCGTCCAGCTTGAATCCTGTCTGCGAATAGCTGCCGCGCTGCAAATTTCGCGAGTCCGTCTGCGCATTGACGCTCTGAGGATACCCTTTTCCGCTGCGTCTACGTAGCTTCCATCTCGCTCTCGTAGTGCTAGAATTCGATGCCGGCACGCGTGTCCTGGAAGCTGGTAATTCATTCTTTTTGGGCTGCGTCGTGCAGTGCCTTGGCGTCGATCGCGAGTGCTGATTCCCCTCCGTAGTGGGTGTTGCTGTCACTATTTTTCGTTATTCGGATCATCGCCCGCTTCTCGTACTCCTTCCAGTTCCTGGGTGTGCCGTCGAACTGTGGAACTCCTCGCCCTGGTAGAATGTATGATGCTGTCGCCGTCTTCGACATCTTGCCGAAATCGAGCTGCAAGGGGTCTGTGAAATCGAACGTGGGCCGCCTCGAGAAATCACTGGTCGACTGCTCCATGAAATTGAACGGCAACAGGTTGTCGAAACCCAACCGCGAGAAGTCTATGACATCCGCCGCCGAGTGGTTTCCGTAACCGAAGCTTATGGAGTGGTCGAGCGTGTTCGTAAAAACGCCGCCGGGACATGGAAGGTCGAAGCGTGAGCCTGGCGAACCAGGCTCCGCTACCAATATGGACTTATCACTTATCAAAGCCCTCGAAGTCTCTGGTGGCAGCAAGAAAAATATGTAAGAATAGCACCACTATGTGTTTTTCACACCGCTGCGCTGGTGACTCAAGGGCCCTGCAAAGGTTTGGGCCAACGTGCATTACGGTCGAAGGCCCCTTCGTCCCCCGCTCGTGCTTGTAATTCTGTGCGCGCTCTGCTATTGTCCTGCTACGCTGCATAAGCTAGATGTACAGTGTATATCTCGCACTACGGAACCCATATCAAATCCGTTAATTGTTGTGTTCGCTTGCCTGCCGGCGAACGCCCAGCAGTTGGACACGCTGGCGCCGCGTCAAGGAAAAAGGAGGAGGAAGAGGAGGCGGAGGAGGAGGAAGATGGAAAGGAGGAGGGGCAAGAGAAGCAAGACGTGGGCCCCAACTCTTGCGCGGCCGGGTCAGGTGTCGGGCGTGCTCGGCGCGATCGTGGCCGTCTTGCACCTGGGCAACGTCGCCTTCGCCGCGCCTGCGAATAATTCCGAGGGGTCCGAGGCCAGCGGTGACCACCACGACGACGACGACGACGACGACGACGACGACGACGACGACGACGACGACGGCGGCGGCGACGACGACGACGGCGAAAACGACGACCACAACAGCCACGACGACTACGGTGACCAACGCGACGGCGACGAGGATGATACGGCGGCAACTACGACGACCACGACGATGACGGCGATGTAGCGACGGCGACGACGACACGACGACGATGGTGAGTACAAAACGGCCGCCGCCGCTTCGATGACGGCAACTCGCGCCGCGGCGGCGGTGGTGGTGGCATCCGTGCGCCCCCCGTCCTCCCCCCCCCGCTCGTCCTCCGAGGCCGTCCAGCAGGGCGCCTCCGGGGCCTCTATGGCGCACGCGTGCCGCCTGCTGGGGGTGGAGCCGGCGTGCCTGGAGCCCCGCCCGCCCAGCTGAGGGCAGGGCAGGCTGCATGTGCAGATCGATGTTTGCATCTCGGTGCGCAGCTCGATGTTCTTGTCGGTCTGCGTTTGCACCCCGTTGGCCGCCGCATCCGACCAGCGCCGCGCCCTGGACCCCCCTTTCGAGAGGGGCAACCCCCTCTCGAAACTGTAACTGGCAATGTTGGACACTCCTCGGCAGTTCTCGGTCCAAGAATTGTCCAGGAATGTTCAACATGGCCACTTGTGTTTTTTTTGTGTCGGGGTCGATCATCTTGCAACCCCTCTCGGATGGAGCAGGGCGCCCGCCCCCCCCCTTCGGGCAGCTGCACCGCGCCTGGGGGCCCCGGGCGTCCATGGCCGGGCGTGGTGGCGGTGCGCACGGTGCCGCGGGTGCCGCCCCGCCAGCGTTCCTCGGTGGCGCCGTCGGCGACGGCCTTCGGCGGCCCTCGGCGTCGGCGGCCGTCGGCGGCCGTCGGTCGGAGGCCCTCGGAGACCACAGGGAGGCCCTCGGAGGCCCCTCGAAGCATGGACGATGCTGCCCTGCAAACTGCCGACCCGAGTCCTCCTCTCGTAAGTCCCTGCAGGTATTTCTTCTCGCGCACCCTATGGGCCTGCCGTTCAGGCGAGAGCCCTGCATTGACAAGATCTGCATTGCATCTATCGAGCGATAGGGGACACGAAGAGGTAGGAACATGCATGTTCACACGCTGCCCAGCGAGAGCTGCGCTTTGAAAACGCCCCCCCCCATCCGTTCAATTGTTTGAGCAATCTTGTACTTCTGGTCATTCAATTTGTGAGTTTGAGCGAGAGCCCTCCAGCCGGGCGCCAGAACTCGCCAGGTCGCTCGCCACCCCTTCTCGAAGAAGGATTGTTCACATACAAGGCGTAGTGTAAAGCATACGAATTCCCCAAACAGTGCTTGCAATTCGGCTCTTAATTGCCTCACAAAGGAATTGGTTGAGTCTGGCGAGGTTTTGCCACGTTGCCTCCTGTTGCCGCCTCGTTGCCGCTTCCTGCGCTGGGTGGGTCCAGCGAGGTTTCGCCACGTTGCCGCGTCGTCGTCACCTCGTGCGCTGGGTGGGTTTAGCGAGGTTTGCCACGTTGGCCCCCGCTGCCGCTTCGTCGCCACTTCTAGCTTGCACTAATTACGCATGTTACACCACATAGTTTGCACAACATAGCTTACACATCCACATTGCAATCACGTGTTAATGTTCGGGGCCTACTCTGGCTCACATCATACAGTATGACATTGCATGCTACAGTAAAAACGCTGGACATCCCCTGACGGCGCCTGCAGCGTTGCCCCTGGTGCACCCCGCGCGCGAGGGAAGGGGCCCAGCGCCGATTCAAGACCTCCGCGCGGACCTTCGAAAATGTCTTCGACCCCCACTCCCCAGGCATCCGGTGTCGCGGCTCTTTCGCGACGTACGTCCACCGCGCAGGAGCCCGTGCTTTCTGGTTTTTTGCCACAGCTGGCCGACCTTTGACGGCATTGGGCTGCCTTCCCGGAGGCCCGAAATTCGGGAGAGCCGGTCGTCGTGAGTGTTTCGCGTCGCCAAGGGTCTTGGTCCTCATCCGCCTCCTCCTCCTCCTTCTCTTCCTCCTCAATGGACCCTGGGCTTCCTCCTGGGCCGCGTGTGGGTCAGGATCTCGAGGCGTACCCAGCCGTGGCAACGAGGGCGCACAGGGAGGCCCAGAAAGCCCCCAGAGCATTGATCCTCTCGGGGTTCTGTCCCCCTTACCCCCGTCCCCCTTGTGCCTCCTCTTCCACACACACACACCCCTTCGAGCCGCAGGTTCCGCCGCCGCCGCCGCCGCCGCCGCCGCCGCCGTCGTCGTCGTCGTCGTCGTCGTCGTCGTCGTCGTCGTCGTCGTCGTCGTCGTCGTCGTCGTGGGCGCGGGGGCGGCCACGGGGGGGCGAGCCGGCGCAGGGGCGGGCCCCGCCGGCGGCCCCGCCGGCGGGCCCCCCCGCACAGTCGTGACGCCGAGGTGCGTCAGGCTTCGGGTTCGGAAAAGGGGCTCGCCGTTCGTCCTCGGGTCCTCCCGTGGCTGTTCCTCTGGCGCTCCGCGTGCGCCCTGTCGCTTCTGGGGGGCCGCTTCTGGGGCCAGTGCAGGTGGGGGCCGCAAGAATATACACCACCACCACGTCGGTTCCTCCTCCCTTCTCGACCTGTTTCTTCTTCCTCTCCTCTCCTGGGAGAAGGAGGGGGTGAGGGAGGTGGTGGTGGTGGTGTACTTTTTTGCGCCCCCCAGCAGGGGCTTCGCTCCTGGGCCGGCGCTCCTCAGGGCACCGTGGTGGCCGCACCGCGCCCTCCGCCCCCCCCCCCGCGCAGGAGCGCGCGCTGTGCCGGCAGACGCGGCAGATGCCGGGCCGCGACGGAGGCGGCGGCGGGGCAGCGACGGGGAGGGAGAGTGGCCCAGGACCTCGGGGATGGAGGTTCCGAGATGATCGAGGCTCGCTGCCTCGGCATTATCTGGGGCGCCCTCGCGGCCACAGCCGGATCCTCCTCGGCAAGTCGGGTCAGATCGCGCCCCAGGAGAGGTCCAAAAGGGTCGACTGTTGACCCCCGATCCGGGGCAGCGACCAGGGGCTGGACTTGCCCAGGGGGTGAAGCACCGACCCCCAACCCCCGGACCCCGCCCAGGAGCGTGCGGGCGCGCCATCGGGGGCACAGCGCCGACCCATCGGCGGTATATCCTCAATTCAAGGGCATTGCATCTCCCCCTAAGCCAGTGGCTCCCCTCAGAGGACGGGCGGGGGAGGGAGGCTAGGAGGAGAGTACGTCGTCGGCACGAAGAGGGCGTCTTGGGAGGGAGGGAGGGAGGGTGACTTTTGACTTCTGCGCTCCGCGCGGGATCCGTCGACCGACGAGGCCCCGAGACGAGAGGGCTGGAGAGAGCAGACTACGGGCCGAGGCCGAATACGGCCAGGAGGGAGGAGGAGGATTGAGGGGGAGGAGGAGGAGGCGGAGAAGGAGTAGGAGGAGGAGGAGGAGGAGGAGGACAAGGAGGACAAGGAGGACAAGGAGGACAAAGAGGAGGAGGAGGAGGAGGAGGAGGAGGAGGAGGAGGAGGAGCGTACAGGAGGAGGGGGCGGAGGATGAGGCAGAGGCGGAGGCGGAGGCGGAGGAGGTTGGCGCCGCTGCCCATGACGGCCGCGAGGCATGATCACGAGCCCGCTGCCGGTCGCGAAGGCCTCCGACAGCCGTGACGCCCTGGCGCGCCCCGGGGCGGGCCTGGCCGCCGATGATCGTCGTCGCCGCCGCCGTCGGTGTTGGCGTCGTTTTCGTCTCTGCCTGAGTCGTCGTCGTGGGTGGTCGCCATCGTCATCTTCGCCGTCGTCTGAGTACGGGGCACGGGGCAGGGAGGGACGGGGGGGAATGAGGAGCGAGACAAGAGTGCAGGATTCGAATGTGGAGACTCCGCCTCCTGCTCCCCTTCCCCTATCTCTCGCGTCATCCTCACGCCCTTGCTCATGCTGCTTTTCGGGGGATGCTATGGAGTAGGAGGAGGTGGTGGTGGACACTGATGGTGGGGTGGGGGGACGAAAGGAAAGAAGCCGAGGGAGAAGGAGGCGGGGGGGATCAAAGCAGGATGATGCTAATAAAGGGGAGGGGAGGACGAAAAGGACAAAGAGGAGGGAGAACAGAGGATGAGGAGCAAGGAGGAAGAAAGAGCGAGGTATATCGCAGAAGAGCAGGAGGAGGAGGAGGAGGAGGAGGAGGAGGAGGCGAGGAGGAGGAGGAGGAGGAGGAGGAGGGGGGGAGAGGAGGAGGAGGGGAGAGGAGGAACAGGGGGATGTGGAGGAGGAATGCGGAGGGAGGGGCAGCATGAGGGTGGTCTGGGAGCTGGGAGCACCTGGCAGGTGCAGGAGCAGGAGGAGCAGCAGCAGCAGGGAGGACGTCTTACGTAAAGGTTCCTGCGTGTGCGCAGCCTTGCACCACGCGGTCGCCAGTCTCGAAGCCGACGCGAAGCAGAGACACTCCATGCATGCAGCAAGTGTGGAGCCACGCTCGTAGGACACGGCCGAGTTGCGGCCACGCTCGAATGACACGGCCTGGTATTGATGATCGGCTGGGCTGGCATGGCACTCGCGTTGAGCAGGATCATGGCCCCCTTGAGGGGCAGAGGATCAGTCGGTGTCCGCTCCCATCCTCTTCCTCCCAAACAACATGCATCAAGTGTGGAGCACGTGTGTCGCGCTGCTGCCCTCTCATATTCTCGCTTCATGTGGTTGGTGCTTCCAGAGGAGGCAGCTCTGTCGCCCTGGATGGGGATGAGCGGAAGGAAGCAGAGATGAACATTCCAATGCATCTCGATCGACGTCTCTTTGTCGTATCATCTATCGGTTGTTCACGGCAGTCGGGGGGGAGGGCCTAAGGAGGAGAGGGTGGGAAGATGGAGGGAGCTTGGAGGAGAAGGAGGAGGAGGAGAAGGACGACGAGGAGGAGAAAGAAGACAAGGAGGGAGGTGGGAGGAGGAAGAGGAGGAGGAGGAGGAGATTAGGATAAGGAGGAGGAGGAGGAGGGGGAGGAGGAGGAAGAGACAGGACGGATACATGTACGAGGAGGAAGGGGGTAAGTACGCGGAGGTAGGATGGTCGCGTGGTAGGCATGGGCGGAGGAATATGAGGAGGAGGAAGTTGAAGGCAGAGGAAGAGGAAGAGGAGATTCGCATTCCCAGGCCAGCGCGGTCCCGTGGGGGGGGGGGGGGGGGGGCGCACGGAGGGCGTCAGGTAGCGCTACGGGCACCGCGGCATCCCAACGGGCAGAGAGGAACTGGACGAGGAAGGCGGCCATGAGGGTGGCGCGGGGGCCTCCTCCTCCCGAGAGATCTCCACAGGGAGCAGCTCCCTGGAGCTCCCACGGTGCTTCCGGAGGTCTCCAGAGGCCCAAACAGCGACCAGAGGCATGAAGCGACCTCGAGCCGTAATCCTGGTGTTGCAGAGCTCCAGATTTTCCGATGATAGGTTCGGCGCATGTTGCCAACAGAGTTTGTGAACCGTGCCCTGTGGCTCAAGGCAAAAACGTTTGCTTGTCTCCGTCTGCCACAGTTGGTAGCGGAGCGCGGTCCTCGGGCGGGGCGCCATGGGCAGGCAGGGGCACGCTCAGTGAGAGCGCGTCCTGCCAGCTCGCGTGCGCTCGCCCAGCGGCTGCGCTCGCATCCAGCAAGCAGCGTGTGATCCACGGCGAGCGGGATGCCCGATGACGGGAAGGATGTAGAGGTGTTTGCAGTCAGGCAAGAGCCGCCAGCAGGAGCCGCCCCAGGAGGCGGTCAGCAGCTGGCGCCTGCGGTCAGCATGGGGGCCGACGAGCTCAGGGAGATGATCAGGGCTATAGTTTCGGAAACTATGGGATCTGGAGCTCGACGGCAAGAAGCGACAGAAGATCGAGACCCTTGGAAGGACCCCACCAGAGATCCTTGGGCTAAAGAGAGTGCTCCCACCGGAGGAGCAGGCACCGACGGAGACGACAAGGACAAGAGCTGGTGGGACAACAAGGACGGCAGCTGGGATAAGGGCGGCTGGAGCAATACTGGGCGAGATGCTTGGGGCTCTGGCGCCTGGGACAGCTGGAAGGACACGTGGAATGGGTCCGGCAGCTGGGCCGGCGGGAGAGGAGACTTCAGCGACCCTCCCACTTGGCCGGGCTGGACCAATTATAGGCAGTGGAAGATTGCGATGAGAAGATGGAACAAAAATACTGACGTCCAGCTTTGGCGTCGAGCCGAGAAGTTCATGAAGCTCTTCGACTACAACTTCCAGGCGAAGTTCGAGGACGTGAGCGAGGACACCCTCGTGTCCCCCGAGTGGCTCGACGTGCTCATCGGCAGGATGGACATGATGGCGGGAGAGCGTGAGGGAGACCAGCTCCGTCGAGCTGGCCGTCGCGCCTTCTTCGAGGCCGCGAGGGAGTCAAAGGAGTCCCTCACGCAGTTCGTTGCTCGACGAGAGGCTCAGCTCCAGGACGCAGAGGGACACGACTTGTGGATGAGCCCGAAGCTCAAAGGACTACTGCTGGAGGAGGGCGCAGGCTTGGGCGCCCAAGGTATGCAGAATTTACGCACGCTCACGCATGGCAGGCTCGACTTCGCCGACGTTGCGTGGGCTCTCCTGCAGATGGACGCCACCGGGATGGAGCGCCTCCTCCCCGGGCGACCTGGCCCAGGTGCCATGCTGGCGACGAGCTCTGAGGACCGAGGTCCAGCGGGCGACCCGGCTCTCGCTTCTCAGTCCTCTCCTCCTCCCTCCTCCCCCGGTCGGTTCGAGGTCGGTGGTGGTGCCAGCGGAGACCCCGACGAGGCCAACTAGACGACGACTCGTATGACTCGGAGGATGACATCGTCGCGCTGCTCGCCGAGATCGAGGACCTGGACGTGCAGGTGGACAACGACGACGAGATCTGGGCCTTCCTTGAGAAGAAGCCCAACAACTCCCGCACCTGGAAGCAGAATAAGGACATCAAGCGGGCTGCCCGCAAGGACAGGGAATACTACGGCATGAAGAAGTCAGATGGACGAGGGCCCCCTCCTCCTCTCGCTGCTCGAGCCGGCCGCCCGAGGGATGCCACCGGTCGACGGGATCGCAGCGGCCGAGGTCGAGAGGCTCGTTCCAATCATCGAGGCCGACTTTAACGAGAACAGCTCATGAAGGTGACCCGATGCAAGAGATGCAACGAGAAGGGACACTGGGGCAAGGAGTGTCCCAAGTACGGAGACCACGTGCCAGGAACTGCGAATCCCAGCCGTCCCAACAGTGGCGGGAAGTCAGACCGACAGAAGGTGTCGGCCTACATGTTCGACGGCTTCGTGGACTCGGGCTCTCCAGGCGGCTCCTCGGGCATCTTTGTCTCGGATGCGATCGAGGCCTCCTGGGACGAGGCAGACGACGAGATCGCCAAGGGCAGCATCTTCATCGCGGCCGGGGCCACACAGGCTCTGGTGGATCCTGGAGCGGGCAGCGACCTGGTCGGAGTGCAGTCGTTGAACCGAGAGTCCCAGGCGCTGGCCAGCCTGGGTCTCCAGTACGTCGAGATCCCCCAGTCGCGCAGGCCTCTCAAGGCGGCGCGCGGCGTTGGCGGGGCTGCCAAGGTGATCAGCGTCATTATTTTTCCTCTCTGCCTGGGAGGCGCCCTGGGCGTGATAGAGACGACAGTCCTAGCGGACAACGTGCCGCATATTTTGAGCGTCAATCTTTTGGAATATCTCGGCTCGGTGATAGACCTGCCGAGAAACGAATTGGTTTTGCATGCGCTAGGCGAGACCGAGAAGATGACTCGCCTGGGCTCCGGGCACAGGCTTGTCGACATCATTCTTCCTCTCAAGGAAGAGGTGAGTGTCACGCCTCCAGCTCTGAGGAGGTGCCCGTTCCTGAGGGCCGACTCGTTTCAGCTAGTCGACCAAGCCCCGCAGATCATGTCGGATGAAGGGGTGATTTCGAGGTATATGGTCCTTCTCATCTCTCTCATCTTCATCATCAGTGGGGGACTGCGGTGGGCTGGTCATCAATGGGGCTATCTCGGGAAGTTCGGGGACCAGGTCCGGGCCAGGTTCGAGGTCCTTCGGAACAAGATTATCGGCGTCTTCTGGCCACGGGCTAAGCTAGCAGCCTCCGAGACAGCCCGGGCCTCGGGATCCCCGCGAGAAGCTAAGGTGAGGCCGAAGGCGACAAGGAGACCTACGAGTCGGAGTGTGAGTTGGGTCCTCGTTTTCAGACTCAGCCTCGCCATCTCGGTCTCCGTAGTCGTTTCAGGCTCAAATCTTTCCAGCCTTTCAGAACTTTCACGACGCCCAGGCCGACTCCGGCCCTCCCAGAGCGACCTCAGTCATGCGGACGGTGACGCTTGTCCTGATGGTAGTCACTACGACGCGACTGGTCCGAGCAGGGAAGAAGAAGGGAGACACCCCCGCGAAGAGGGCCACCGAGGAGCTTCTCGCTCGCAGCCGGTCCGCCGAGTCCGAGGTGAGCCTGGAGTCGTCGGTCGGCTCAGAGGCGACGGAGATGCCGGGCACGTTCGTCGGCGCCGCGTCGGCAGAGCAGACGCCGGGCATGCCGATGGACCGGCAACAGGCCTCCACGGGACCGAGCCCCGGGGAGGAGGGCCCCACGTCCAGCGGGGCCATGCCAGGGCCCCCGCCGCCAGCCCAGCCCATCATGTGGGCGGCGACGGCCCACGCCTCCGGGTGGACGGGGCCAGCGGGAAGCATAAGCAGCCCTCAG